CTTCATGGTGATCTTGAGGAAGAAATTTATATGGAGCAACCTCCTGGATTTGTTGCTCAGGGGGAGTTAGGTCTTGTTTGTCGTCTTCGTAAGTCTCTCTGTGGCCTCAAACAATCTCCAAGAGCTTGGTTTGGTAAATTTAGCAGTGTTGTTCAACAATTTGGCATGACTCAGAGTGCAGCTGATCATTCTCTCTTTTATCGTCATTCTGCTTCTGGATCTATTTATCTGGTGGTATATGTGGATGATATTGTCATCACAGGCAGTGATCAACATGGGATCTCTCGATTGAAACAACACTTATGTCATCATTTTCAGACTAAAGATCTTGGAAAACTTCGATACTTCTTAGGAATCGAGGTGGCCCAATCTAAAGCTGGTGTTGTGATATCTCAGAGGAAATATGCTCTGGATATTCTTGAAGAAACTGCTCTGTTAAATTCAAAGTCTGTTGATACTCTTATGGATCCAAGTATAAAGCTTCTACCAAATCAGGGGGAGCCCTTTTCAGATCCTGAGCAGTATAAAAGATTGGTTGAAAAATTGAACTACTTCACAGTCACTCGGCCTGATATTTCCTTTGCAGTTAGTGTTGTCAGTCAATTTCTCAATTCTCATGTCAAGAACATTGGAATGCAGTCATTCGTATTCTTAAGTATATCAAGGCATCTCCAGGGAAAGGCCTTGAATATGAAGATAAAGGTCATGATAAAGTGGTTGGGTATTGTGATGCTGATTGGGTTGGTTGTCCAACTTATAGGAGATCTACTTCTGGGTATTGTGTCTTTGTTGGAGGCAACTTGATTTCCTGGAAAATTAAGAAACAAAGCGTAGTTGCCAGATCAAGTGCTGAAGCAGAATACCGCTCCATGGCGACTACTACTTGCGAGCTCATCTGGCTTAAACAGCTTCTCAGAGAACTTAAGTTCGGAGATACTGGACATGCAACTCTCATTTGTGATAATCAAGCAGCTCTACACATTTCATCAAATCCAGTGTTTCATGAAAGAACCAAGCATATACAAAAAAAAAATGTTTATATTTTATTAATAATTCATTTTAGTATTAAAATATGATTGTATTTTTAAAATTTTCTTTACTTTTTCTCTCCACAATGGTGATTAATTCATTCGTTCACATTGATGATAAATTATGAAATATGATAAAACACAAGCAACTATGGAAGCGCGGGCTTCTAACCCAAGTATTTATCAATTATTTTAATAAACCTAATTTCTTCGGTATAATTTATCAATTATTCATTTAATCTAATATGAACTCGAGTATATATAGAGGATAACTCTTTCAAAACATCCAATTATACTTATAAATAATGAACCAAACTATTTTCAAAAGGAAAAATGGGCTCAGTTTAAAAATTGATTGAACAGTTCAATATTTTACGGTCTAGTTAGATTCAGTTCATCTAATATTTTTCCCACCCTTAGTTTAGGGGAGTACGCATTTTTGCATGCAATTTAGCTTAAGAAATTGCAATTGAACCGAAGAATTATTTGGGGGCCCAAAGAATGACATAATAGAACCCACTAAGAACCAAATAACTGTGTCTCCAATGTTTGTATGGATACTGCACTAGTTAAAAGTATTATTGGGAGAGTTATTCTATATGTTTCCAGTACTCTGGAGTTGGGAAAAACTCCTTTTATTTTAAATTATTCAAAAACATGAAAAATATTTAAATTTTTTGAATAAATAATTATTATAAACTTATGGTGATTTTTTTTGAATAAATATATACAAATAAATAATTATTATAAAACTTTGTGTTCGAATACGGATTCAAAGATGATGTAACGTTGTATTCTGGAGTCAAGCAAGATCCAATGGGTTTTTCTTTTCTCGGTCATATCTAATGGGTTAGGCCTTTTAATTTCAATGGCAAATTAGACTTCTGGGCATATTGTGCTGCAAAAATTTGGGCCTCTAAGTATATGATTCTAGAACTTTGCTAAGCGTTGCACCTGTTTTTTAAGAAGTGAAGTTAAGTAAAGTACTTTTCTTGTATCATAAAAAAGAAAAGAAAAGAAAAGAAAAGTACTTTTCCATCACATACCATTTTCCTTCCTCTAGATGGTAGGTAAATGGTGTTTGATTAATATTCCGGAAGGTTGGTAAAGTCATAAAATTAGTTTATGCTGTGAATAATGATTCGGAATGAATTAAATGAAGATTATATAAATGAATAATTTATAAAAGATATGATATTAAATTTATTTATTCTATTAAATTGTTTCTTAGCCGTATATTATATATTAGATTGTTGCAGAATTAAATTAGTTACCTACATCGAAAGAAGGTACCACGGTCTTGGATGAAACTCGAGCCTTACCATTATAGACCATCCTCACTGATATACACATGCATTTTATTCACATTAATAAAATGTTATTCCTTCAAATTTAGGGAGTTCAATCTGTTATGTACTCTGTTGCATTATGTGCCATTTAATGATATCATGAAGGCCCCACAGTTTATCAAAATAAAAATAAAAATGTAATGAAGATGAAGAAAGATGTTCGTTGGAGCTTAGAGCCCAGGACAAGTGGACATTAACTTCTTGTCATGGTGATGAATGAATGTCAAACGCGAAAAGTACGCGTCCAACCCAGCATATTTCTTGTCTACAACGCCAACTCCATGAGATGCATTCACAAATACGATTGTATTATTATTTTTATATGTTTTGGGATAGGTTATCGTGCCTACTTCTATTTTACCTACTTTTGCCTACCCCTTTCGTTACCGTTCGATTACCATCTCATCCAACAATCCATATTTGTGATATAAAATAAACTTTTTTTTCCCTTTCTTTCTTCTCACTTTCACCCATACCCTTTCTCTCTCCTCCCCTTTCTCTCTTCATCTGCCATATACCTATTTTGTTCCCTTTATCGTTAATCTCTGCCCAGGTGAACGGGAAGCATTTGAAATCATTACCACAACATTTGAAATCATCGTCAATATACATTAGTCTTTGTTTTTATTATTGTAATATAAATTTTCTCCTTCTGAATCAGTTTCTATCAAACTACCAGTGTCAATGGATTGAAAAATCACAACAAATTTCTAGATCTGAAGAACAACATAAACTTTATAAATTAATAAGATTGAATCGATGACTAACAAAGAAGTTTTAATGTGATTCAAAAGATCTGTGCAGAGTTGGAAAAGATTCAAAATAAATAAAAATTTAAAGAATAAAAAAAATTGATATTGGAAAAATCCGGAAAGAGGGTTAATTGGTGTCATTCCAGCAATTATGTTGATACGGATAACCAATTAATTATTAGAAATTAAGAGTATCTATCATGTGGAAGAACAGATCGACATATTGAAGCAGAGACAAGGAGGATTCTGTGAACAGATCGACCGCCGCTTTGAATCACATCAAAACTTCTTTGTTAGTCATCGATTCAATCGTATTAATTTATAAAGATTAAAAATATCATTAGAATTGAACAGTTTGTCAGGAGATTGAGGTCCACGGCGGCAGAAGGGGAAAAAAATTAGGTATGGTGTAGAGGAATAGAGAAATGAGAGGAGAGAGAAAGGGTATGAGAGAAAGTGAGAAGAAAGAAAGAGAAAAAAAGTTTATTTTATATCACAAATATAGATCGTTGGATGAGATGGTAATCGAACGGTAACGAAAGGGGTAGGCAAAAGTAGGTAAAATAGAAGTAGGCACAATAACCTATCCCGTTTTATATATATTATTAGTTAGTATATTAGATTGCGTGATCCTATTTCGATGTCAAAAAATACATACTAAATCTGAACACATTATGCCAATCAGATTATTAATTATAATAATTATTTATTAATTAATAATGTAATTAGTACAATACATTTAACTTAGAAATTTCAAATTTATATAAATAGTTTTCTTCAATGTCATGTTCTTACTATTGAATATGTGTAAGCGAATATTTTGTTTAAATAAGGATTCGTTTTTTTGGTATAATGTTCTACCCAATGTTATTAAACCCGGCCCGGTTATTGATCCAGTCGAGGTACTGGGTCACTGGTTCAACCGCATGACCCAGTAAGTAATATGTAAATCTACAATTTATATGAAAAAAATTATAAATATACTTAAATACTTGTACAAAAATATACCAGTTTCAAATATTTTAATATGAAAATAATAAATTACACATCATTATCCAACAAAAGATCAATCAAACATATAATATTTGTAATACTAGGGTTTCAGGTTCAGTAAACGACATCTTTAACTATAAATCAAATCAAAATTGCATAATCAAGATAATATTAGTGTTGTAAGTACATAATTTATGTAAGTTAATAAGCTACAAATAACTCAAATATTTTAAAAGAAAACAAATCATTTTTGTCTGAGATTAAAAAAAAAAAAGACATTAATTTATGAAGTTAAATTAGTTTTTTTTATAGACCGGGCCGGGTCACCGGTTGAACCGACTGGATCACTATTTTTTATGAAAACTGGCCGAGTCACACCAATTCTGTAATATGACCAGTCTAATATAAAAACCAAACCGATTACATAATCAGTTTACCGATTTTCTGATCGACCCGACCGGGTCGGTTCGATAAAATGGGTTCTACCATTCATCTAAAAATTCAACAAGATGACGACAAAGCAAAGAAAGCAACGCAACTTGAATCTAATTAATGCGCCATTTTAGAAGTTAGGGGGTCCAATTTGGCAACATTTATTTCCCAAATAAATCCACGTAGCCATCTTCAGCAGACAACACATCAACCAACATTCAAATGAATTGAAGTATTGAACACTAAAATCAAGTTAACTAGGGTTAACCATAAAACATCAAAACAAAACCTAGGCAAAACAAATCCAAGCAATGTACTAAAAATAATTGTCCATCTAATTCACACTAATTTAATTAATATTTTTTGAATTATTTAAATTTTATTTATTTATATATATATATATATATATAAAAAACGTAGCAAGTCTCGAGAAGAAAAGAAAACAAACTTGTACACTCTTTCGACGTTGTTCACAGTTCAACTCTTATACCGTATTTTTCTATTCTGACGAAAACCAGCTTTCTCTTTCTGAATTTGGATTTGGATCCAAAACGACCAACGACGCCGTTGCAGCTCCTCCTCTTCGTCGCATTCAATTCCCTCACATCGTTTTCTATCGCCGACGATTCAAGTTACCATGGCAACGGAGAAGTTAATGTCCGGCGGCGGCCCCCGCTACTTCCAAATGAAATCGGAGCCGCCGTCTTCGCCGCAGTCTCCGGCGGCGGCTGAGATGTCGTCGGTCCCGTCGTTCCGTCAAAGCTGCGCCGAGGTTAATCGGATTTTCGACGAATTGCCGAAAGCCACCATCGTCTCCGTTTCTCGTCCCGACGCCGGCGACATCAGCCCCATGCAACTCTCTTACACCATTCAGTTCCAGTACAAACAGGTGCCGTGCCATCTCTCTCTCTATCCATGATTTCGTGAAATTCTACAGAAAATTTCTCTGATCGCAAACACTGAAGCCAATTGTGTGAGCAAAAGCGAGGGAAATCAAAGGGAATTAGATCCTATATTTGAATCTATTTTCTTCTTTTTACTCCTTTATCTGTATGTATATGTGTATGTATGTATCTATGTATGCATGTTTGTAAGTATGTAGTAGGTAATTTAAAGTTTCCGCAGTTTTTGGTGTTCTTCAAATAGCTGCTACTTAGTTATAGCTTTGGACTTTTCAGTTTAATTTTACTTTCTTCAAACAAAAATTTCTCCTCTTACACACCAGCGTTGCAGTTGTTTAGACTTTATGTGTGTTAGAAATTCTTTTATAGAAGATAAATAAAGAAGTATTAATGTAGAGGAACAATATTTTTACACCTCTAGTGTCCTTGTCTGTTTCACTGTTTCCGTAGATGGTTGGGTGTAAGAAACCTACGTTGTTAAATAATGATTATTGCTTTCTGGTTATTTCGTTCAGTCTTCTTTACTTCAGGAGGATACTTACGTATCTCATTTTCATTGCAGTTCATGTGGGAGCTAGAGAAGAAAGCTCATCAAGTATTTATGTTGCATTTTACGTTAAAGAAACGTGTCTTTATTGAGGAAATTCACGAGAAGCAAGAGCAGGCAAGCAATTTCTGGTTGATTGCTTATATATAAATGGCTTTTGTAGATTTATTGTGTTATTTGATGATATCGTGTATATCTAGCAAAGTTTGGATTTTGATGTAATGTTCATTTAAACATTATATCAAAGTGTTAGAATCTATGAAAAATATCCCATAATATCTTGGCTTGTATCTAAGAATAGTTTAGAAAATCTTAGATGATCTCTTTGGAATAGTTTTCTTATTTCTTTATATTTCATGATTTATTTATTTATTTATGGGTTATGTTTTTCTCATGTTACATTGGATAACATACCCCTCCTACTCATACATCAAAAGTTGTGCTAACATTTATTTATTTTTTTACTTTACCACATGCTTTGTGTCTATGGCATAAGATGACAAGTCTCCTACAACATGAGACTTGTATTCCCCTTTATTTAATTAGGATTTGAAGCCTAATATATGTATAAATAGGGATTAGTGCCTTGTAGTTTGTATCACATATTAACACATCAAATCAATACCAATTTCATATTATTCAGTATTTATTCTCTCTTTTCTTTCTTACCTACCTAAATCCCTATAATTTCAACATAAAGGTTAAAGAATGGCTTCAAAATCTAGGAATAGGAGAACATACTTCTATGGTGCAAGATGATGATGAAGCTGACGATGAGACAGTTCCTTTACATACTGATGAAAGTGCTAAAGACAGGTGATCCCTGATATGCAACTTTTGTTGGAGCACTTGTTGCAATTGCAATGTTACTCTCTGCTCATAATTTCCTTTAAGTTGGTTTTTGGTCCAGAGATGTTCCATCTAGTGCTGCTCTACCAATTATACGGCCGGCCTTAGGAAGACAGCACTCTATTGCAGACAGGGCAAAGAGTGCGATGCAAGGGTATCTGAATCACTTTTTGGGAAATATCAATATTGTTAACTCTCGAGAGGTATGCTTTGTGCATGAGCTGTTGAAAATATATGTTTATCTAGAAGCTATTCTTTTTTTACAGTTGTTGATTCATTGTTGTGGTTCAAGTATGTCATAGACATTTCAGATATACTTAAAATATTATGGTTTGACATTAAGGGAGGGAGTACTTGTTAATTTGTTAATTTTTCATTTAAAATGAATGCAATTTGTATCGATCTGGTATTCTATTCAAAATGACAAATTGTATTGTATGCAATGGAACCTTGATGGGAAGGTTTACAAATGTAAGTCTAACAAATGGATATAATGGCTATGCAAACCGGTTAACATTTAACAGCTAGAGTTTATCATGCAAAGCTTGCGTACTTCTATTTCGATTCCTGGAAATTTGTTGACATTGAACCCTAATAAAGGAAAAAATAAAAAAGAAAACTGTATGTTTCTTTACTACTCAGGTATTGGTGGTATAACTTGATTTGAATATTAGTTTCATTAAAAGGCGGCGGGATGATGATCCCATCACTGTGGGGTGGGAGGATCAGGTATAAACATCCTTACCCTATAAGCAGAGGTGTATCCATGACTAGAATGCATTCACACCAGGTCACAAGGCAGTAACCTTACTTTTGCACCAAAACTCACTCATAGATATCAGTTTTATTGATATATATAAATCATATAAATTTGCTGCGGCACTGCTCCCTTGCACGTGAAGTCCACGCATCTGATTACTGGGTTTAGTTGGGAAGGCTAACTTCATGAATCTGTTTCAAATAAGGTTGTTGTTGTAAATAATAATTATTTAGTTATTATTTAGTCATTTATTTGTTGTATTGGGCCAAGCCCATTAGGTTAAAATTAGGTCAAGTATTCTCTATAAATAGAGAACCCTTTGTACAGATTATACACAATTCTATAATATATTAGAATACCATTTTTCAAGTTGGTATCAGAGCTCTCGATCTGAGGGCTTTGCTTCCGCACATATTATCTTCTTTTTTAACAAAACCCTAATTTCTTTGCCTCTTGCCGCCATCAGCCGCCACCGGGAAATTTTTCCGGGGACCTTTTGGACCAAGGGGACCATTGTTGACCTTATTTTTCCTCCGATCTATCATTCTACGCACTGTTCCTCCGCCACAAACGACCGAAACACCTCTGACCGCCTCCAATCAGATCTGTCTTCACCGTTTGGACCACTTTCCGGCGACTTTTCAACCGCTACCACCCACAGACAGGTGCGCGCTCACCGGACCACCGGACCACCACACCAGAAAAATCTCAGCCGGCGAAGCCCCTCCACGCGCTCTCACGCGCCGCCCCTTTCCCGGCGAGTGAATCCCATGCACAGCTCCTTTCTCCGGCGCGTGGAGGCGAGTGCGGCCGTGTTTTTGGACCGGACCACCACCATTCTTCTCGTCTTCTTGTCTTCTGTCTGGATCTGTAATTATTTTTCTGATCAGAGGTCATTTGATATTCTGTTTGGTTGATTTTATCGCTGGTTGTTAACTTTTTTTGTTAAAGAATGGCCGAGCATTATAGTTCTTCGATCTTATCTAGTAAGAGCACACGTTCTATATCTCTTCTTGCTTCTTGCACTGATTTTAAAACCACATGGATTTTGGATTCTGGTGCAACTGATCATATGGTTTGTCGTACTGAGTTGTTTTGTTCTTATCATCCTACTGTTGGTAGTCATACTATATCCGTAGCTGATGGATCCCATAAATCAGTTATTGGTTCTGGTAACATTCAAATTCAACCTTCCTTGTTTCTTAAAAATGTTCTTTATGTTCCTCAGCTTTCTACTAATCTTATCTCCACTCAAAAACTTACAACTGATTTGAATTGTTCTATCACATTTTTTCCTTCTCATTGTCTTATTCAGGATCTTACCACGAAGAAGACAATTGGAGTTGCTAATGAACAGGATGGGTTGTATCATCTCCTTCCAGACCATGCTAGCAAAAATCAGTTATTAATGACACGTCATCCTTCTATTGCAGAGTCTATGATTTGGCTCCATCACAAGCGTCTGGGGCATCCACCATTTAGTCTTTTGAAGTCTATGTTCCCCTCTCTGTTTCTCAATAAGTCAGTTGAGACCTTTCATTGTGATGTTTGTGAATTTGCAAAACACCATCGAATGTCATTTCCTTCTAGCACTATTAAAAGCAGGGAACCTTTTTCTCTTATCCATTCTGATGTTTGGGGCCCTTCTAAAGTGCACAGTGTTTCAGGTGCAGATGGGTTTATGCCCTGAAATATAATTCTGATGGCACTCTTGAGAGATATAAGGCTCGATTAGTGGCCAAAGGTTACACTCAAACCTATGGCATTGATTATGAAGAAACCTTTGCTCCAGTTGCAAAGATGAATACAGTGAGAATCTTGTTATCCCTTGCTGCCCATTACAATTGGGATATAAATCAATTTGATGTGAAAAATGTTTTCCTCAATGGTGAGTTAGAAGAAGAAGTCTACATGGAAATCCCGCCTGGTTTTGATTCTGTGAAGGGGGAAAATAAAGTTTGTAGATTAAAAAAGGCCTTGTATGGATTGAAGCAGTCACCTCGTGCTTGGTTTGGAAGATTTACTAAGGTTATGATGACCTTAGGATACAGACAGAGCCAAGGAGATCACACTCTTTTCTTCAAGCACTCCCAAAATGGGAAGCTTACTGTGCTCCTTGTATATGTTGATGATATTATTATCACAGGTGATGATTTTGTGGAGAGACAGATTCTGCAAACACGGCTTGCCTCTGAGTTTGAAATCAAAGACCTTGGGAAACTTAGATATTTCCTAGGGATAGAAGTAGCTCATTCAAGCAAAGGAATTTTTATCAGCCAGAGGAAATATGTTCTTGATCTTCTCAAAGAAGCAGAAAAGCTCGGGTGTAAACCCTCTAATACTCCTATTGAGCAGAATCACAAGATGGGCTATGAAGAAAAGAGTCCTCCAGTTGATAAAGGACAATATCAACGGCTAGTTGGAAAATTGATATATCTGGCTCATACTAGACCAGACCTAGCTTATGCTGTTAGTGTTGTCAGTCAGTTTATGCACGATCCAAAAGAAAAACACATGCAGGCAGTAGAGAGAATTCTTCAGTATCTTAAAGGTACTTCTGGTAAAGGATTGTTATTCCGACGTGATGGCAATCTATCTTTAGAAGTCTACACAGATGCTGATTATGCTGGATCCGTGAGTGACCGTCGATCTACCACTGGTTATTGCATGTTTCTTTGCGGTAACTTGGTGACATGGAGAAGTAAGAAACAAGATGTGGTTGCCAGATCAAGTGCAGAAGCTGAATTTCGAGCTATGGCTCAAGGCATTTGTGAGTTACTGTGGCTGAAAACTTGATGATCTCAAAATAAAATGTGAGGGACCTATGAAGCTGCTATGTGATAATAAGTCCGCTATTTGTATAGCTCATAATCCAGTTCAACATGATCAGACTAAACATATTGAGGTTGACCGCCATTTCATCAAAGAGAAACTTGATAGCGGGTTGATTACCACTCCATACATTCCCACTGGGCGTCAATTAGCTGATCTATTAACAAAGGGGCTTCCTTCAGACAGATTTCAAGAACTTACTAGCAAGCTGGGAATGATAAATATTTATTCCTCAGCTTGAGGGGGAGTGTTGTAAATAATAATAATTTAGTTATTATTTAGTCATTTATTTGTTGTATTGGGCCAAGCCCATTAGGTTAAAATTAGGTCAAGTATTCTCTATAAATAGAGAACCCTTTGTACAGATTATACACAATTCTATAATATATTAGAATACCCTTTTTCAAGTGTTGTGTAAAGAACCTTGGGATACACCACCTCAAAAGCTAGCTCAAAGGGTGGGAGTGTCCAAGGCTTTATAAATTTCACATTAGTTGCACATACAACCAATGTGGGACTATATATCTCAACACCCCCCTCACACGAGAGCCCTTTGGGCTTGAAGTGTGGATATTGCACAGGCCCAATTTTTTTTTAGTTTACCTTTTGTGCTTTTTATTTTAATTCCACTTTTAAAGTGGGGGGCGGTGAGGATCGAACTTGTGACCTTGTAGTCACTCAAGCTCTGATACCATGTAAAGAACCTTGGGATACACCACCCCAAAAGCTAGCTCAAAGAGTGGGAGTGTCCAAGTCTTTATAAACTCCACATTAGTTGCACATACAACCAATGTGGGACTATATATCTCAACAGGTTGACATGGTTTTCGTTCTAGTCACAGAAATAGCCTCTCCACTCACAGGGTTAAGGTTGCATATATCTGATCCTTCGAATGAGCATATCTTTGGTGCTACCAGAGTAGGTACTCCTTTACTAAAGATAGGATTTAGGTGTTATTAACCATAAAAGGGTGGGTGAAATAAGTAAAGTTAGGTATGTTGCTTTTTTCTAATTTTAGCAATAATGTACTGAGTCTTCAGTACTATGGGAGTACTAAAGATATTTTCCCTTCCAAGACCCTATAATGGTGAGAATCTTGTGAATGGGCTGCTCATTCCCTCTATTATAACAGCTAAACGAAATTTTACCTCTTTTTTTGGTTACTACATGTACTACATGTTATATGATATGGACCTAGGAACTTATAAAGCATATTTTGTTTTCAGTTGAAGTTCATGAGTATTTATGTTTTGTTATTAGCTGTTTGTTGGATATTTGATCCTCTCTATTTATTTCTTGTTGTGCTTTTTTATAACCAGTAGACACTTGTTTTTACAGTTCACAATTTTATGCTATAGGTTTGCAAGTTTTTGGAGGTATCAAAGTTATCTTTTTCTCCTGAATATGGCCCTAAGCTCAAGGAAGAATATGTGATGGTGAAGCATCTGCCTAAAATTCTAAAGGATGATGATTCCAGAAAGTGTTGTATGTCTTCCTGTTTTAGTTGTTGCAATGACAACTGGCAAAAGGTAAAGAGTCCTGCTTTTGAAGTTGGCCAATATGCTTCCCTTGTCTTGGTTTCTCTTGACACACGTAAAAGCTAAATATTTTTGCGTGCGACATTTATGCACTGCTTAGGAAGTCAGATGCAATATATGCTTGAAGCATTATACGTATATGCCATGAGAAGTCACTCACACAGTAGCTGTGACAACCTGTAATATATTACCCAAAAATATTGTAACTTGAACAGAATTAGATCTTGACTAATATGCTCTCTCTTTTTTTGGAAGTTTCTTAAATATAAGACATGGGAGTTTGGTAGTGGGCCCATATCATGAAGTTAAACTGACAGTTCTCTCCTTGCTTTTCAATAATAAAAAATACAATTTTGAGTATTTTGGAAGAGTATAATTAGAGACGGATGGTGGAAGTCCACTTTCTATTGTAGTATAGATTATATATGTTTCAGTCAAAATTTGTTTTAATTGGAAAAAGTTTAGGGGGAGGGAAGGCTACCCCATTCCAAGGCCAAGGCATGCTGTAAACTTCTAGCTTACAATGTTGCTTACAAATTGCCTATTAAGAGGGGACATTGTTGGCAGCAGGAATTATACCTAAGCTTTACAAGTGAAGTATTTGATCCTTACCAACTGAAACCAACTCCTTTTGGCATTTTAACTATTTACCTAGCCTTGAGTTTCTCCAGACAGTATGACATGGAACTTTAGTGGTATTATTCAATTCTTTTTTAGTAGCTTTTATTGTATTTGGCTTAACTTCACAATTATCACTTTCCTGTCTTCTCGCGTACAGGTATGGGCTGTATTGAAACCTGGATTCTTGGCGTTGCTGGCTGATCCTTTTGATACACAGCCCTTGGACATTATTGTTTTTGATGTACTACCTCCCTCAGATAGGAATGGGGATGGTCGTCTATCACTAGCAAGTGAAATGAAGGAACGAAATCCTTTACGCCATTCGTTCAAGGTGAGAGGGGTGCTTTTCTATCTCTGTTGTTGCTTCAAGTCTTGTGGCTTAAAAGAATATAATGCCAATTCATATTTTCTCTCTGCCACATTATAATCTTGATTCTTGAGTAGCTCCCCAATTTAGTCCTTGAAAGATTTTTGGAACAGCAATTTCGTCCTTGAAGGATTAGTGACATCCAATTGATCCTCAAATGATAATATTTGGTTATTGAATTATATCAATTTGAGCCAAGTAAACAGTAATTTTGGGAGTTGTAATGTAAAATACTTTTCATTTGAGGACCAAATTGATGTTCCAAAAATTTCTCAAGGACCAAAATGAGGCTTATTCTAATATTTTTACTAGTTATTAGCTGCTTTGCGGATGTTATCCGATGTCCAATGATAATATGCAGAGAAAGATACATTTTAACACTTAACTGAATACTTTAGGTGACTTGTGGAACCCGGAGCATTAGAATTAGAGTGAAAAGTACTGGTAAAGTTAAAGATTGGGTTGCTGGAATTAATGATGCTGGACTCAGGCCTCCTGAAGGCTGGTGTAATCCTCACCGCTATGGTTCTTTTGCTCCTCAGAGAGGCTTAATCGAAGATGGCAGTCAAGCCCAGTGGTTTGTAGATGGGCGAGCAGCGTTTGAGGCCATTGCTTCTTCAATTGAGGGTGCAAAATCTGAGGTTTGTTTTTTCAGTGCCATAACATTCAAGGTCACTTTCATGATAATCGTTTTTTTCAAAATAGAAAATATGATTGTTTTCAAGTTTCTGTTCAATGATAAGAGATTCATGCAGATATTTATCTGTGGGTGGTGGCTGTGCCCAGAACTGTATCTACGGCGACCTTTCCACACTCATGCTTCATCAAGGCTTGATAATTTGTTGGAAGCAAAAGCTAAGCAAGGGGTTCAGGTAACCTTTAAAATGAACTTATTTTACAATGTCTTACCAATTTTACTTAAGACCATTCTTCTGAATTACTTTTGTTATTGAGTTGTTTAAATTGTAAGAGATAATTACAATCATTCCAAGGATTTTAGTACGATGTTGGCTTTCAGTTATCTTAAATGCATTTGTTTTCTACTGTAGTAATCTTCTATGTTTCACCGGAATGACTGCTCGTTTCCTGTTCTTGTTGTTCCTGTATTCATTTTTTGTTAAAAATTGTCTTGTATTTGATTTTGGCTTTTGGCCCAACATGTGACCTGACCTAACTAGCCCATGGTGTGGTTGAAGCAAAAGGGCCAAGTCAATATAACCTATAGATATGTGTGTGATTGTGTGTATGCGGCATGAGGGTTTGAACATTGGCTAAGTACCCCTTGTAATGTTCATTGATCATAGCAAATATTCTATACACCCTTGGAAAGTTATGATGCTTAAAATCCTGATGGGGCGCTTTAAATTTTGCTGTGTCATGGAATCTGTGTTTGTGTTGTGACCCATATGCATGTTAGTATGCATGGGTTTTAGGTTCTTAGGGAGGGATGGTGGCTTGCTTGAATCTTTGAATCACATAGTGTGGAATTGCAGCTTTCTTAAGATGGCTCAACAAAATTGTTCCCTTTCTAGATAGAACAAGTGGCTCCAAAATATGTTTTATTGTTTGTTGAGTCATGAGTAACTTTGGTTCAAGGTACATAGAACTATAGAAGTTAGTCTTCTACAAATGTTTTCTGTTTAGAGAATAGTACAAACCATTAAAAAGCCCTCATCCACTAGCTTAAACTTTTTGGTTGAATTGGATCTTTACATTTTCGATATCAGAATGGAGAGTAGTCACAAGGTAAATTAATTGAATTATTTTACTATTTAATAGTCCAGTCCATGTGATGATCAAGTTGTTATGAAGGTTCTCAGTTGTCTTATATGCCATCTGGATGATGAATGTTCCAATTGCTTTATTTCCATAGAAGTGGATGGATTTGCATGAATGCTTTGTTTTTATTTTTAATACAGATTTACATTTTGCTCTACAAAGAGGTGGCTATTGCTTTGAAAATCAACAGTGTTTATAGCAAGAGAAAGCTTGTTAGCATTCATGAGAATGTGAGAGTATTACGCTATCCTGACCACTTTTCTAGTGGCGTTTACCTGTGGTATGCAATTGTCCAAAGCTTAACTTTTTTTTTCTATGGTTTTATAAATAAATTATATTTCCTTTTATCAGCAAGTATCAATTATACGACACTTTCTGATTTCTTATACGTGCTCATGATTATATTCAGGTCGCACCATGAAAAACTTGTCATTGTTGATAACTATATTTGCTTTATTGGAGGACTGGATTTATGCTTTGGTCGTTATGACACATCTGAGCATAAAGTGGGAGATTTCCCTCCTGTAATCTGGCCTGGGAAGGATTATTATAACCCAAGGTAAGTTTTGTAATAGAAGATAAAATCACAAAGAAACTCTATGTAAGGGTCTGTTTAGCTATGCTGTAAAATCATTAAGAGCTGGTTTTAGTTAAAAAAAATAAAAGCACTTCTTTTAATTATTTGGAGAAAGAATATAAATAATTTTATGTGACATAGAAGAACAAAATCTTCTGTTAAGGAGAAGTCAGAAATTGGTGCTTCTATTAAGTAACAAAAGCAGAAACTGGTGAAAGGTATTATTAAACAAAGTTGTTTCTTTCTAAACATATTTTATATAGAAGTGTTTTTAGAAAAGCATTTCTCAAGAAAATTTCACAGCAAGGCCAAACTGGCACTAAGTTTCTTTCTATTTTTTATATTAGAATTACAATATGGGAAGCATGAGGGTATGAGGTTGTATTAAACAAATCAACGGATTGCATTTCTTATTGCTGAACATGTATGTTTGATGGAAGATGTTTTGTCTACATCCAAAATCTTACAATTCTGCCTACACCTACCATTTTTTGGTAAAAAAGAGAGAAAGAAAGATGTAGGCAATAGGGTTAATTTGAATTTTTTCCTAAAAGGGGTAGGTGTTAGGATTAGGTGTATGCATGTAGCTGTAGAATTAACATTGTTGATGTTTCATATATTGCATTTCCCATAGGTTTGCTGCTTAATCAAATTCACTTAGATGCTTTATATAATTCACTTCTCACTTTTGTTCTAGCAGAGGAAAAATTTGGCATAGAAAATACTTAAGAATTCTAAGAACAAACTGATTAGGGATAAAATTGTATGTCTAGACAGTCCACAGACTGTTTCTCTATATATATTAGTGTTAGTATTAATTATAATGATTTAATCCTAATTATACAGATATACCATCCTAAATTAGTTCCTATTGCTGCTCTTAATTGATTCTATGTATACATGATATGCTACCATAAATATCTTAGATATTCTAACAAAAACTATTGGCAGGATTGTCACTTGGTATGTGTTAGGATATGTCGTTCATCATTATTTGTTCTAGACTAGCTCCTTCTTGTTGGACATAATTCATATATTCATTTTCAATTTTGACAGAGAATCTGAACCAAATTCATGGGAAGATACAATGAAAGATGAATTGGAACGTGAAAAATATCCTCGTATGCCTTGGCATGATGTTCATTGTGCCCTTTGGGGACCACCTTGTCGTGACATTGCTAGGCACTTTGTTCAGCGATGGAATTATGCCAAGGTTAGACTTATTCTACAATTGCATTTAAGTCTTCATGCATTCTGGTCCCATTTCTATATTCCCTATATAAAATAATTTTCTTTTTTTCACATCAGAGGAACAAAGCTCCATATGAGCAAGCAATACCATTACTTATGCCTCAGCATCATATGGTTATTCCACATTACTTGGGGAGAAGCACAGAGTTTCAGATTGAAAGCAAGAGCACTGACAATTATAGAGTCATCAAAAGAGAAGATTCATTTTCCTCATCTTCCCAAGACCAAGATATTCCTCTACTTTTGCCTCAGGAGCCAAGTGGGTTGGATACTCCTGAAGGAGACCCAAAATTGAATGGCTTAGGCTCCTTTTTACATCACCTTGACAAGCCAAAAAGGTTTAGCAGTGGTCTTCCATTCTCATTCGGGCGGAAGGCCAAAATTGTAGCTGTTGGTCCAGATACACCAATGAAGGGCTTTGTAGATGATCTTGACTCTCTGCATTATCATGAGAAAATGTCTTTGGATAGAGTGGCTCATGCTGATTTACAAAATACAGATCCAGAATGGTGGGAAACACAAGAACGGGGTGATCAGGTTGGCTTTGCTGATGAATCAGGACAAGTAGGTCCTCGTGCTTCTTGCCGTTGTCAGGTGCGCTGTTCTCATATTGCTTAAGTGTCACTGACCTACTTAAATATAATTGTGTCAATCATAGTTGTTAGAATCTTACAATTCTATATTTCAATATTATGATTCGATACAATTCGCCAAGCCAGCGATTCATATCATGTATGGAATTAGAGATGGCTTTGAATCGTGTGATATATGCATAAATCAATGCGATTCCTGATCATTTATACGAATCGCACGATTCAATTATTCATTAATTTTTCTTTTTTCTTTTGCTTTCATCAATTCTCATGTAAGAAAACAGAAAGTCAAATAAGTTTAGATTGTCAAAGAAAAAACTAAAGGAGTGCTACTAAATGAACCCTATTTGTTTATTCGATTGCCCAGTTTTCATTCTTTTTAAATAGGTGATTCACACGGTCACTCACTCACTCTATGTTTTCTATTTGGCTGTTGTATTACTATTTTTCATTCTTTTAAAATAGAGGCTTTACATAGTCACATACTTCCTATTTATGTACCTTATATGTTTATATCATTGCTCTATTTTTTTCTTTTCTGAAACATATGCTTCACGCTGTCATTGTGACTCAGTTATGACTTATGACATAATTTTATTTGGTAAGAGTTATGGTTAAATTGTTTTTCCAATTCCTTGTTTAAAATTATTAGATTGAGCTTTATACATCATTTATATTATATATTTCAAGTATTTTTCATTCTGTCTTTGAATCTTAGTATTTAATACGATTCAAGATTCAAAAATAAGCTTGGCAATTCACATTTGAATTGTGACTTGATAACTTTGTGTCAATGACTTATACATTTTTTTTTATATGTGAGGTTCATTAAAATGTAAAATATGTTATTTTTGTTATTAAATAATATATATCGAGTGATATCAGATATTTTTTGGAAGCTCTTGGCTTTGATCCGTTTTTTAACAACATAAAGACTAGAATCCTTAGGAAGTCAGTGATATTTAATATCTTGCTGGAAGATTGACTTTCATGAGGATGCATTATATTATCTTATTCCTTTTCTTTTTTTTACCCTTTTCTTGTTACTTTTATGCTGTTAATTTTTTTGACTTTGGTCATTGTATTTTCTACTATTAAGATATCCTGTACTTGATAGGTTATTAGGAGTGTAAGTCAGTGGTCTGCCGGAACAAGCCAAACTGAAGAGAGCATCCACAATGCTTATTGCTCTCTTATTGAGAAAGCTGAATACTTCATCTACATTGAGGTATTAAATAAACTTCCTCCTTTTTAAGATCAATGGTTTTGCAGATGATTATACCGAAAGCAGTTTTGTTTTGTTAGTTATAATAACGGAAGCTATCTAGAAGCTAGCGATTAGATTGAAAGTAAGAACAAAAGAGCATGGGTAATTATTACTTGAATTACCGTACAAGTATTTTCTCTAGTAACTGAAGTGCCATCATTAGATTGAAAATAAGAACAAAATAACATGGGTAATTATTACTTGAATTACCATATAAGTATTTTCTATAGTAACCGAAGTGCCATCTTGTAACTTGTAAACAACTTGAGTGTTTTTGAGTTTCTACACAATATCTGAGTCTGGCTTTCGTTCCAATATCTGTAGACGGTCTTGTTCAAGATGATGATTACATTTTGTGCTTAACTTACATGTGGCTTAAATTATGTTGCTTTACGTGCTTTTTTCTGGAATTGGTTTTGGATATTATTTCTGGGATGAACTTAATTTCTATTCAGCAGTAGTATTGACTTCATGGATATATCTAGCATATATCACTTTAATGAGTGAAATCTGAACATTATTTGTAAATGAATGAAAATTGTACACTACATTACAATGTACAGAGACCTATCCTAGTAACAAAATAATCTTGCAATAATTACACGTACAATTGATGTGGAACTGTTATAACATTGCCTCTCAAGCTGGTGAATGAATATCTATATTTCTCAGCTTGCCAATAAGATCCTAAAATGGAATTCCCCTTCTCGGTGTATTTTTAACTTCTCCTAAAAACCTAATGTTTTGTTTTTACTATAACTGAAAAAAGAAATAAAATTATCATTGCAAATTAACCACGAATGCAGACCACTTTCACTCACTCCTACAGGCTACAGCCCTACTTCTAAGGAACTTTTCTTTTATTTAACTTTTTTTTGGTAATCTTATTTAATTTTTTTAAAATATATTTTTCTGTTGAAAGTTAAATACTTGGGGGTGTTTGGCAACCTTCAAAACCCAGATATCTAGGTACAAGGGGGACGATTTTAGATGTAGGGTGATTGTTTATAACAAATTTAAAACGAATTTTTTTTTTCTTACTTGATTTGAACTAAATTTGACATAAAAAGTTGTTCTTATTGAACTCAAAATTGGTCTTTTTTCAGTCCAGATTTTTCTCAGCTTTATCTCATTCCTTTTCATTCTAGATTCAAAGGTGGTTGTTGAAAATAATTCAAAATTATCTAATATTTTTCTTTATTCTGTTGAAGGAAACTAATGTAAATTTGTTATGTCAATAAAAATTTAATTTTTTTTTTATTTCTGTTTGTAAAATAATTTTTATTTTTAAAAATAGAAACAATATAATTGAATAAAAAAATATATGTGAAAAATCTCAATTTTATTTAATTAGATAGTCACATTCGCATAATAATCAGTCTTGAACAAAGAAAACTAAGTTTAATTTTGAACTGGTTTTGTTTTTTTTTTTTTTTAAATATTTCAATCGGTTCATTGCTTCGCAACTAATCCGATTCGGGACGGGTCCAGGATTAAAGCTTTAAATCCCTCCCCAATGTGGTACTGGGGAGATTCAAACACATTCTCTCACCCCTACCTACTTAGCTCCCATGCGCCAACTGAGCTACCACCATTTGGTTAAACTGGTTTGTTAATATTATGGTTTATGCAATCAGTTCCATCTTTTACCATTTTAAAGTAGTTTTGAAAGATTCTATTAAATAAAAAAGTAGTTTTGAAAGTTTCCAAACAACCCACTCAGTTTTTATATTTAAAGAGAGAGAACTCTCGGGTCCAATAATATTTGGACATTCTCACTACACCTGTATTGCAAATGCCTCTTCTAGTTTTAAGAAGGTGGATGTAGTTGAACAGCTTTGTTTGTTAATAATGACCCCAATATTCCTACAGCTTGTAATATATATTGTGCGTTGCATTTCATGGACAGTTTCGAACCAGCTTGGGTGAAGCAATATTATATATTCTGCCCTCCACCCCTCCCTTTTCAAATTTTCATATAGGGTAGTCCTATTGTTTTATGTCTTCCTAAATCTGTTCCCAACTTTTCTCTGACTGTTCTATTTAATCCTTGGGAACTCGTTCCAGAATCAATTTTTTATCTCAGGTCTCTCTGGAGATGAGATGATTCGGAATCGTGTGCTAGAAGCTTTATACCAACGGATTATGCGAGCTTACAAAGACAAAAAATCTTTCAGGGTTATAATTGTCATACCTCTCCTGCCTGGCTTCCAGGTTCTAATTAATTTTTATTATTTAATGTTTCAACACCAGAGTAAATATTGTTTTTGCATGAATGTTGGACTTACGACTCTGTTATCTAGGGGGGGCTTGATGATAGTGGTGCAGCATCTGTGAGAGCCATAATGCATTGGCAGTATCGAACCATTTGCAGAGGGCAGAATTCTATCTTACATAATCTTTGTGAACTTCTTGGTTCAAGAATACATGACTACATCTCTTTTTATGGCCTGAGGTCTTATGGTAGACTCTCTGATGGTGGTCCTGTGGCAACCAGCCAGGTATTCATTCTTTTATATCTATGGTCTCATACTAGTAGTTCCAGTCAGCTTAATGATATACACTTTTTTGCAGGTGTATGTTCACAGTAAAATCATGATTGTTGATGATTGTATAAGTTTGATTGGATCTGCTAATATTAATGATAGGAGCTTACTTGGTTCCAGAGATTCTGAGGTACCTTTTTCCCTTCATATGCTGTACATTTTTTTATTAGAGGTTTAAATTTACTGATTCCCTCTCACATTCTGTCTCTCATTTCGTGAACCCTGTTTGTGGCAATTCTAAACAACGTTAATTCGTATATTTTAGAAACGAGTTAGTTGATATCTAGTTTTCTTTTTCTCATTTTTATATATTTTACTGGATTTTTTATTTTTCTTTGCTGGGGGCGGTCTGCAAATTTAACCTTAGGTGTTTATGTATTACTTTGAATTTCCTTCTCTATATTATCAGTTTGACATCTTTCTTATGTTCACAAACACCTTAATATAAAATATGTAACTGATGAAAGAATAATTTCAACTGGCTAGTATCTCTTATTGCCAACATCATTTTTCTCACCCTTAAAATTGTGTCTTGAAATCATTGATTGAACTGTTAATTACTATTTGCTTCATTTTGTAAACTTTTATTTGACTTCTAAATATTCTAGTAATGCATAATTGTTGCATCACCTTCTGTCCCTTTATTTTCCCCACATGTGGATTTCAGATTGGTTTAGTTATAGAGGACAGAGAGTTGATTGGTTCTTATATGGATGGAAGGCCTTGGAAAGCAGGAAAATTTTCTTTGACTCTCCGATTGGCATTATGGTCTGAGCACTTAGGTCTCCCTGCAGGAGAGGTTCGCAACTTTCCCCTCTTTGGAGAGTAGTTATTTCATGTGCCTGATTTGTAATAACTATTTGAACATCTTTTCCTCAGGTCAATCAAATAATGGACCCAGTTGTTGAGTCTACTTACAAGGATATATGGATGGCAACAGCTAAGGTAAAAAGAAAAAGAAAATGTTGATATTTATTGCTAATCTGATCTGTGAAGATTTTTATATGAATTGTGGTGCTTTTTTGTTTTTTGGTAAAAAAAATTGTGGTGCTTTAAGTGATATATTCTTACAAAATTACTATTGAATGACCATTTATGCGCATAAAATTCCTTCTTTTAAAAGTAATTCTTATATAAATAATTATTCTTTAATAGTATCTCCATCATTATCCAAGCATGAACATATTAGTGGCCTCTTCCTTTTTAATTATATCATTGTCCTTCCACTAAGTTAAGGATTGAGAACCAGAGTTTATTGTAGCTGATACGGATTTGCTTATTCATTTTGTGTGTGTTTTGAGGTTTGTTTTCTTTTCATTTATTAGTACCTTTTTTGGGGGTCTTTTCTTTACCTTTTCCTTTTTGGGGGTCTTTACCTTATTTTGTGTCCTTCCACTTAGCTTTTCATTTATTTGTTTTGAGCTTCGCAAGTCGGCGAACCAGGTGTGTTTTGTTTAGAGGAGTCTTCTTTTGTATCATGGACGTATGCATTGGTGAACTCAGAAATGTGCTCAAAGAGACTTTTGTCAGTGTACTTCCTAATCATGGTGACGACTTTTCTATTCAGAATTTCCCATTCCTTCGCATTCTTTTCTTCTGGTGTTATCTTATTGAGGATGGGCTCATAGAAGTCTTTACAGAACAAGTGATCTTCCATCATCGGTTTCCACTCAGCTTGAAATGCCTCCGTCATGAGCAACGTCACTGGTCTCCGTCTCATCTCCTTCAGAACCCTTTGAACTTGGGCTCTGATACCACTGTTGGGATGGGATCCCTCAAATTCAATGCGGAAGCAGTTCGTAGGTTGGCATGTCGAGCTCAGAGCTCGGCACTCCGAAGTTGGCCTGTAGTTATCAGGTCGGCCAACACGGAGACAAATGAAAAATGCCAAGAAGGAGAAAATAGAGAGGAAACACAACAATCTTTTAACGTGGAAAACCTCCTCTAAGGCAAAAGAATAAAAACCACGGGACACTAGTCTAGAAAATCTCTCACTGTAAAAAAGGAGGATTACAAGGATTCAAACTTCACCAATAATGGTGGTATTCTCAAACTTCTCTAAAGATGTCACTCTTCAAACTTCTCTCAAAATACTCTCAAGCTAACCAGAAAAATCAGAACAAAAAACTATTACAATGTTAGTATATATAGGGTGAGGGGAATCCTCCACCTTTTTCTACAATCTTCAATTATCGGCAGCATTCATGGAGATAGTTGTGCAGACATTGAACCATGCATCCATAAATGTGGGGCATGCTCAACCACTAGCATTAAAGGCAGGAACACACCTCAACAAAAATCCGCCAAACAACCAATCTGCGGTGATCAAAGGAATCTCCCGTTTCCTCCTGTGTTCTTCACTCCCCTCTATTCTTGCAGCTTCGTTTACCATCCGACTCTCAGAGGATTTAGTTTGTTGTCCTCCATTGGGTCTCTATCGTAGGCCTTCAAGAACCTTCTCCGTCCACTTGAAATGGGATTCTTAGTCCTCTTTGTCTCCTTTGCGCAACTCTCTGTTGTGGCTTGCTTTAGATTGTCCTCTATCCATTTCAGGAATCGTTCAAACCTTCTCTCCAACGATATCCATTTCAGGAATCGTTCAAACCTTCTCTCCAACGACTTCAGCCGTGCATCCTCCAATGAGTTTCCGGAGGAGTGACAAAAAGTAACAAAGACTCCCATTTCTCCTAACCTCAAGAGAATCCTAGTCTATGGCCTTACTCTCTTACTAACTGTCTAATCCTACTACATGTATTCTCTCAACCCTATCTATAATCCCAATTATCTAAGTATCTAATTCAGTTGAGATTTCCCGAGCTGCCCCTGTTAACCTCCCCTTTTTAGGAACTAACTAGGTGTAACTAAGAGAAGTTGGCCTACATGGTTCTTTGGTCCATTATTATTTCTTCTAACCTGCATTCCTAAATAGGGAGTTGCTAACACATTATAATTTAGTTGTATAAGAGATTTATGGTTGTGTGTTTCAACTTCTGTATGGTTAGTCATGTAAACAATTCAGGTATACCATCTTTTCTTACTGTTTATGCAAATATAAAATACGCACACACTAACACATATATACATGTATTCTTTTACCTAATGTTTTTTAGTGATCGATCTTAATTAATAATGTTTCTGATTAACTGAGTAAGAAATAATACTTTAACAAGAATACTGATAATTGTCCTTGGATACGTTTCACAGACAAATACTATGATTTACCAGGATGTCTTTTCTTGCGTACCTAATGATCTGATACATACCAGGTATGTAGGTGATAATTTTCGTCCGTCTTTCATCTTTGGGAGAATCTTCTCCATTTTGTTGTCCTAACATGCATTTCAAACCTATGTATCTGCAGACTTGCTTTCAGACAAAGCGTGGCTTTTTGGAAAGAAAAAATTGGTCACACGACCATTGATTTAGGAATAGCCCCAGAAAAATTAGAATCCTATCTTGATGGAGGTATCAAAAACACCGATCCATTGGAGAGATTAGCATCATTGAGGGGTCATCTTGTTTCTTTTCCCTTGGAGTTCATGTGTCAAGAAAGTCTAAGACCTGCTTTTAATGAAAGCGAATACTACGCTACTCAAGTTTTCCATTGAGTACGATGTCTGAGTACATAAAACATCTTGAATTTTTCTTTTCTTTTTTTTTATCATACTGGGGGGGATTTGTAATTTATTACTTGCAGAATTTCTTTTTATTATAATTCTGCAAGTGAGGAAGATTGGGGGATGATCTAATCATGATATTCTTGTAAAGTATGTATCTGTAGCTACTCATTGTAAAAAAAAAAATCCATCAGTTTAATTTTTATAGAAAGAAAAAGAGTCATTCAATAATATATGCTGAGATTTACTTTCGGATATTTTTCTTTCGTTCGTTCGTATGTTTTATTCTCCTATTACCCTAGGTGTTCAATGACCTACGTCCAGGTTTAGAATTTTATGGTGTATATGCGGTTGACTTCTGGAGCTATTACAGAACTTTCAGAACTACTTTTTAAGTTAAAATCAACTGCGATTCAACGCATACTGCCTCCTCGGATGTTGCATTATTTCATTTGACGTTACTTGTGTTCTTTCCTATTGTTGATTTGGCCATTTTCTCAGCCTTGTGCTCAAATGCCGAGTGTTATACTCACAAGGGCGTGGCTTTAGTAGTATCACCTCCAACAAAAAGTAAGAGGATAAACTCAAAAAAGGGTAAATGTTATTTAGGGTAGATATGATTTTTGTACGAGAAAAGTTATATTTACTACTTCTTTTTTTTTTTACTATTTGTTACTATCAAATTTTAATCGTTGATTTTTGTCAATGTAACGGTTATAATTTATTAGAATTAATAATTAATTAATAAGTCTGATCTAATAAATTATAACTGTTAGATTGACGAAAATCAACGGTTAAGATTTAGTAGTAAGAGATAATTAGAAAAAAAAGTAGTAAGTATAACCTCCCCTTTTCTAATATGTTTTCTTACACAGAAGTTCATTTAACATGTTAAGTAAAATTATGTTAATGGTTTATTTTATTTTATTTCTCTAACAATTTTAAATAGTTTTCTTTTAATAACACAGGTTTATAAACTATTTTTTTATTTATTTCATAATTCTAATTATCACCTTTGGGTAAGTTAGGTCCCTGGTGTCTACAAGGGCCGAGTGAAAGAAAGGACCCACACAAATATGGAATCAATCCAAGTCGAGAGGTGTGACAATTATCCATGATTTGAACCTCTTCTCTTTTCTTTTGATAGATCATAGCATTTGTAGTAGTCCCGACTCAGCTACTCCTTCCATTGAGGAGCTGTCACTTGGAGAAAAAAACAAATTTTCTCTCTCCTCCGTACAAACAAGGCAGAAAATATTCAAATTTTATTGGTTTGGACTACTGAATCATAGATGGGTTACGACCATATTAAATATTTTCCACTTGAGCTACCTCGAGTTGAATAAGAATCTTTACTCGTCCAAATCATACATCTCAGGTGAGATGTAGCAATGGTCCAAGCGATATTGTTCAAAAATTATTATGTAGCAATCATTTTCCTTTTTTTTTTTTTTTTTTGCCCATGAATATGATATAGCAATCAGGCATCTCTGGCTTCTATCCAAAGCAACCCCAGCCATGAATTTGTGCTTGTTTGTTAACCAAGTCCATTGTGGGTCATAAAATAATCTCACTAGTGTCCACTTGTTTGACCATGACATCCTGGGTCCCTCTAAAACAAATGGCCAAGAGATAGGCTTGTGTTTGGTATAACATTAGGGATATATCATTGAGTCTCGTGATTAGAATATTCAGTCAATTAAATTGTGTGTTTAATTAAGATTGAAGATCACTTAATTTAAAGCCAACAACTAAAACACAATCTAATTTCATCCACTGAAGTTATTTATTCATTACTTATTTGTCAAGTTGCTATACTAATATATTTGATAAATACCGACCTCGTATCACAATATAAAATATATTCATTATAATATGTAATTACTAACCCCTGAAGTTGGTGACCATATGGTAACCATGACGTTTAATCACCTTCCATTGCCAAAAAAGCCCATCTGTTTTGTATCTTATGGTGGTACATCACAATATTGGGTGTGTAAGTAATATATAAGTTGAGAGGAATCATCTCTCAGTTCCTCAGGTTCTGGCATGCCATAGGATTTGCTAGTAGTAATTCCAATCTCAGACATATAACTGAACCTTTCTCTTGATCAAATTTGGTAGGAAACAAAAGTCTTGTATATTGAAGTTCTCATTTACTTAGATTGAGTTTTCACTGGATATGAATTCTTTTTCACCTTCCTTTGGGAAGAATTTCGAGTAATGCAGAAAAAAGATAGTTTTTTGAGATAACCCAAATGCTTGTTTTTAAATTTCTTTTTGTTTTCAGATGAGAAAGTTCGGGTGCTATAAAATTATATATCATGATGAATTTTATTCTTTAATGTTATAGACATTTTTCAGTTCCATTACACGTATCTTGTTTTGGAGGCTTATCATGAAAGAGCTAGAACCGATGTACAACATATATATCATGTTTCTCTCGTGAATAACAAGTAAACACTTAACATACTCATTAAATTTTTGTTTGTGAAATAGTTGGAATACAGGAAAAGTGATGAGGTTCTAGGTCCTCCACTATCTTATTATTTATTTTATTTAGTATTATTGTTTTAATCTTTGCATTTCTACTAGAACAGAAACAATAAAAGGGGTTCAACTTTCTTCTTGTGTATAATCTTCAAATGTTATTGGAATGTAGTGGCAATGGTTCTTTTTCCATTTCTTGTCAATGGATCGGGGAGAACAGTGTCGTTGAAGAAAGAGAAGAGTTGTAGAAAGGATGATGGAAGGAAAGCTGTGGAAGCATTGGCAAAGGAAGCAAAGAAGAATGAATTGTTATTGAGTTCATCTGGAATTGTTAAGTCTGCCAAGGCCAACGATTTTGCTTGTTTGTTCACTAAGAAGGGCCAGAAAGGAGTGAATCAAGATTGCCTTCTTGTTTGGGAGGTATACCAAGCCAACATATATAGTAGTTAACTTTTCCTTTTTCATCATAAATGGGACATAATTGATATTATGTTTTAATGTGTTTCTGATGCTAGGAATTTGGTTGCCAAGAAGACATGACCTTCTGTGGAATTTTTGATGGTCATGGACCTTGGGGAAACTTCGTTGCCAAAAGGGTCAGGAAACTATTACCTGCTTCTTTGTTATGCAATTGGCAGGAAAATCTGGCTGCAACATCACTTGACCTAGATTTTAAGATGGAATCAGACAGAAACTTCCATAAATTTAACACATGGAAGCAGTCCTACATAAAGACTTTTGCTGCCATTGATCATGATCTGAAGCAGCATACTGGAATTGATTCTTTTCAAAGCGGTACTACAGCTTTGACAATTATCAAACAGGTGATCCATTTTCATGTGATATGGTATCTTTAACTATTGGTATTTGAGTTAATTTTCTGCATCTTGAAATAGTTTGGTAATATGTTAATTTTGTCCAACTTTACACATATTTATCGTGTGTATATATAAGTGAGGATATTCTAACTAGTAAAAATTCTTACTACTAACTTACTACCCATCACATCACCATTGGATCAAAGAGAGAGAATGTTAAAAAGTTTTTGAAGAGAGAGAAAATGTTAATCTAATGGTGATTAGATAGATAGTAAGTTAGTAGTAGAAAATTTTGGTAGTGAGAATATCCCTCCTCTATATATATATATATATATATATATATTAGGTTCGCTTTTTCTGCAGTTACGGCAGATAAGTTATCTGCAGTAAACCTAATACGACGTCGTTTTGGGGCGAAAATTATGGTGTTTTTGTAATTTTCAAACGAATCTAAATAATTAGCATATGCGGCTTCTTCTTCCACTTTCGCTGGTATATTAGTTCCACACGTCAGTGGACTAGTGGTCGTAGTCTTTCCTTTAAATTCATGATTTACAGGTGCTACATTTATTTCAGGGTTATTATAGTCTTTATAATTAAATTTTTTTAATATTTCAATCCCAAAACGATGTCGTTTTGAAAGTAAATGCATAACTTATCTGTATTAACTGCAGAAATATTTTTCTGATATATAATATTTCCAATGTATACAGTTTCTTTCTTTTGTCTTCCCTAGTCATGTATTAATAATGAAAGTGTTTGTTAATGACATTTTTTGCAATTTCATGCTCTAAATTTTAAGAGTTATAGCAGATCTCGGTTTGATGCATTAATCAGAAGTGGCCTAAAGTTCATGTCATTAATGTTTCAGGCTGAACATCTCATTATAGCAAACGTTGGTGATTGTAGGGCTGTCTTGGCAACCACTTCAGAGGATGGTATATTGACTCCACTTCAGCTTACCACTGACTTCAAGCCAAGCTTACCAAGTAAACTCTCTCTCTCTCTTACTTAATCTCACATGAGAAGTGCTTGTCTTTATTGCTGCATTTTGAGACTTGTTTTTTGTTAATTTAAGAGGAGGCAGAGCGCATAACACAATCCAAAGGGCGGGTATTTTGTTTAGAAGATGAACCAGGAGTGTATAGGGTGTGGATGCCAAATGGTAAGACTCCAGGACTAGCAATATCAAGAGCATTTGGTGACTACTGTGTGAAGGACTTTGGACTAATCTCTGTGCCAGATGTGACACAAAGAAAACTTACCACCAGGGATCAATTTGTTATCTTGGCAACAGATGGGGTATGCTCCTTATTTCTTTTCCACATTTCCCTTCAATCATACAATGACTCATTTTATGGTCAGTTTTTTTCTTTCTTTCTTCTTTTTTTTTCACCAAAGTCAGAAAGAAAAAGTATTTAGAAAAGGTTCAAATGCAATTATTTCTAGAACAATGTTGGACCAACTCACTGAAAAGAGATCATGCTTGATTGGTTAAGTGACAATGATATTAGAGTGAGCATGTCATGTGATTAGATATTAATGTACCATTTGAGTTGTTTATTAGTTGCTGCTTCTTTTTTTCCATCTCAGGTATGGGACGTTATTTCCAACCAAGAAGCAGTGAAAATTGTTGCTTCAACACCACATAAAGAAAAAGCAGCTCAGAGGCTTGTGAAATGCGCCATGCATGAATGGAAACGTAAGAGAAGAGGCATTGCTATTGATGATATATCAGCTATTTGCCTCTTTTTTCACTCTCCCTCCACTCATCAACTCCCTACAACCAAAGTTGTCAAATAAGAATGGAGGGTGATTAAACCGCTCATTGCTGCTTCCTCATAACACAAAATGCATAGGCATTTATTCGCATGTATACTTAAAGAAATGATCTTTGAGCTTTAGTCTTGAGATTGTATTTACATTTACACTATTGTGAAACCTTTTAAAGGATGAATTTGTCTTACAACAAGCACTAAATTTTGGGCAACCTACAAAAACGGCTGAGACTAGATATCGCTCAAATCTCAAGAGTAACTATTATACATTGTAAAAAAACCATCTTCGGTACTATGTATAAGGTCTGATAGTATAAGTTTATACTATACGTTATGACAATTTTAGTTGTTTGGTGTGACCATCATATAATATAAGCTTATATAGGAGAATCCCTTAATACATCAAAACAATATATAACTTAATCCGGCCTAAGAAGGAGGGATTAGGCATGATAAAAGGTTGGTGTATTAACATCATTAACCAGTATAATTCTCAAGAATTAATATATTATTTAATATTATTATATGAAAATAAAATTAATTTTTTAATATATTAATTTTTAAAATATTGGATAAAAAATTAATATCATATGACATTTTTGGTAGAATTATATAAATTCTTTATTAAAGGATATTTTTATTAAAAATATTTATTTTTATCCTATCTAGTATTATACATTGCATTATCAAATACTAAATGATATTATCTTATACAATAGATTATTTTATACTATATCATACCAAACGTTGAACAGTATTAAAATTTAATTAGATCTTATTTAATCAGGCCTTATACTATCAGATCTTATACTATCAGCAAGGAAGCACGGACACTCCAAAAAACAGGGAGTGTCGTGTCCGACACGCGACACGCGGTCAACATTCCCGACACGTTGACTATTTCGACACGCGAATTTGACTGTGCTCGACATCCCGACAGGGTCAAATGTCATTTTTGTAAAAAAAAAAATTTTAAAAAAAAAAAACAATTATTTTTTAAAAAATTGAAATATATTAATAAAGCTTCTACCTGATCATATCAATTTTATTTTATTTTTTCCTTTTTTTCCCTTAAGTAGATAAGAGATCATCTCAGCATCATTGTTGTCAATTCCTATTACGCTCTTGCTATATCTCCTTCTCTCTAATCTCTCTCTTTCTCATTTGATTTGATCTCTCTATCTGATATTATCTCTCTCTCTCATCCTAGTTCCTTTATTTAATTAAAGCTTCTACCTTTATAACGTGTTTATGGGTATTATTAATTTAGTTTTATTTTTTTTAAATTATTGAATATTAAATGAAATATACGCTATATAAATTAAAAATATTATTTAATATTAAAACGTCTCCCAACGTGTCGAAATATATATTTTTTTAAGATTGACGTGTCGGAGTGTCGTGTCACGTGTCGCGTGTTGTATTGGTGCTACATAAACTATCAGGCCTTATCATATATTATGCATCAAATATGCCTTTAAATGAAAAAAAATATCTTCCAATAAATAGAACAAATTGGGTAATATCACCAAATTTTGAAGAGTGGTTATGGAAGGTGTCTTAAATCCTTACTTAACACTTTTTCTTTTCTTTTTTTAATTTTCCACCCGTTCATGGATTAGTAGATTACGATCTGAGTCAGGTAGGATTACATAGACAGTAAAATTCTTACTACTAAATTTTAACACAACCATGTTTCTAAAAATTTGAACTCGATATAGCTAGTTAAAAATAACAATTAATTTACGTGCTTGGTGATTAATTTACATCTTTGATGTAGCAATTCCATCTATCATTAGGCAAAAGGATTAATAAGCTGTTTTATCACAATTTATTTAAAGAAATAATCATCTTTTTTATTCAAAACTCTTCTTAAAAAAAAATCACATTTAACTTTTTTATCTAGTTGACAGAAAATAAAAATTAAATCAAATGTAAAAGATTGACTATTTGAACATGGCGCTGCATCGCCACATCGAGCAGCAGCTGCTATGAACATCAGCACTACTTCCTTAACCTCTCAACTCTCACTCCCTCACCTTCGCGCCCCTCGCGCGTCCCATCAACGCGCCACCTTCTCCCTCTTCTCAACTCTCTCCAAGACCCGGCGACTCTCTCCCTCCGCCATGTCCTCCGCGCCTCTCCGATCTTCTTCTCCGATCACTCTAGTGGAACTCAGCGACGAGTCCGATTTCGAATCTCTCCTCTCCCCCGACGGTTACATTTCCGTCTGCGGCTTCGGCTCTCTCCTCTCCGGTAAGTAAGTTCAATTTTACGGGTAACTAACCGCCGTAACAACCTCGGTAACTAACTAACCGCTGCTGCTACTTTCTTTCTCAAACGCAGAGAGAAGCGCCCGAAGCACTTTCCCCGATTTGGTGAATTTCAGAACTGCTAAGTTGAACCAGTTTCGTCGCGTGTTCGCTCACGTGGCTCCGGTTTTCTTCGAGCGCGCCATTGCCAAGCCAGAAACTATGGTTTGTTCTATTAACTCCATAATTGCCACTGCCTTTTGAATTCTCCGATTAGTTCTTCATCGTGTGTTTGTTCTCCGTGAAAAAGAAGAAGCAAGAAATGCTTTACTTTTTTGTATTTTATTGTGAAACTAAAAAAATAAAAAAAAATAAAAAAAAATTAGCATAGAAGATTATGTTTTAACTGTATGTTGATGAAAACGTTATTAGGAGATTTCAAGCTTGAGTGTGGAGCCATGTGAAGGAGAGACTCTTATAGTAACAGTCTTTGAGATCAGAAAATCAGAGGTACAGTGCTGAGTAGTTCAATTTCAGGTTCAATTTGTGCTGGTTTTGTGTGAGTTTACTGTTAGCTGAGCACTGAAGCTAATGTTTGTGCCTTGTGGGGATGATTTGTCAGATTCCAGATTTTATCAGGAGGGAGGTTGAGTTTCGGTTTCTAACTGTAAGTTTTTAGATGTTGATTTTGAGCCTTGCTGCTTTTGTAATATTTTGTTGTCTTCAGATATTTATGCGGTTTGAGATGTTCAATTCTTTGTGTCTTAGGTTCTTCCGGAAACACTTGATGATAAATCTTTTGACTTTCCAGCGGTATGTGTTGGTCGTTATTGTTGTTGCAAAGCTTATAGATATTCTGTTTATTACATCATGAGGATCATTGGTTATTAAATTGGCAAATTTGTCATTTGATGTGTCAAATTTTTCTCAGGTCCTTTGTGCCCGTTATAGTGATGAGGAATTTTTCAAAATTAGATGTAAAGGTAATTCTCATTAGCATTCTACTTGTTATTTATTAAGGACATGGGGCATGTATCATTTTGGCCTTTTGGAAACTGGAAAGGCTGGTTTTTATCCAACTTTTCGTGTTAGTGGATTTTTATGCTTGCATCCATTTATTTTTTTTGGCATAGATGATATTATCTTCTGTTCCTGAATCTGACTTCAGAAACTGACCAGGGAGATAGCCAACTAATTTCTTTTGAATTGAATAGAGTTGTATGCAATTATGCATGGAAAATTTACGAGGACTTGAAGGACCAAAATAGAACATGTATTTATTTTAATAAGTGACAACATGTTCTCTAAATTATTATTTTCACATGTCAAGGTTTTATTGTGACAAATTCAGTAAAGATTCACTAATGACATGAAGGTTTTTCTGGAAAGGCGAGAGGGAACCCTAATAATCACTGGATGCTTCCTATTAAGCATGGACACTTAAGAAAAGGAACTGTGTCCAAGTCTGAACATAAAAAATTCTAATGGGAAACTTTAATTTTGTATTCTTCTTGTGTCGATTTTTTCTGTCTGTGCTTCTTGGGATGCTTCCAATAATAAAATATTACAAGGAATTCCTCAATATGTCATAACTTTCTGGCTAGGCCGAAGGGTGCAATGATTCATTAGAAGATAGGAATTTCCTCCAATCATAGCATTGTAGGTGATTACTGTGTTTTACATAAAAAAAATAATGTGAAATTCTGTTTAATGTATGCCCATACCTTGTTTTTTTTTTTTTATTTCATGCCTTTTGTCTTTGTTTATGCATGCTTACATTACGGTTCCATTCAGGAAACAAGGAAATCTATTTTCAGCAATATGGACGATGGAATATTGATAAAATTTGGAGGGATGATGTCTTACCTTGCCGTGTTTATCTTCGACACTGGTAAGAACTTTTTGGGTGAAGCCCATTTGCTTTTTGTTGATTTGATGTTGAAGAGAGGAACTAGTACAAAATTGCCACATTTCATCTGAATTTCTGCTTAGCTGTTGTTTCCCTGGTCAAGAGTCCTTGCTGTCAGATGCAGAATACACAAGAAAATGCAACTGATAGTGATAGGAATTGTCTGCTTAGGTGACAATCCCGTTGTGTGAATTGGATTGCTTCATCACAGAGGTTACAAATTCATGGGCAACATTTCTCTTCTTCCTAGTTTTTGTTTTCTTTTCTTTTGCTTTCATGACCTCTTGCTGTTTCCCTCTTGATGAGTCCCTTGGCATGTCGGTTTTGCTGTCAATCTGGGAAACAACAGAGATTATCAGCTTCATGGAAACCAAATAGTACCATAACAGAACAAAGTTTTCCATTATTTAAACCGTGCCTACTCTTGGATTCCTTGTAAATTAACAGGAATTGTGAAATTTTTTGTAGCGTGCTGGCAGCAATGAATCTTGGTGACACAGCCTATAACAACTTTCTGGATCACACTTATCTAGCTGACCGTAAAACAACTATTCGTGAGTACCTGGCAACAACAGGTTCTGGCATCATGGAAGAGGAGCCCCCAGATTCCCTCAAATATCGCTATGGTGGTTGATAATACCAACAGTCAATTTTTACTGCTTTAGACATGTCAATGGCAAGGGATGGCAGATGGGCTGAACGTTTTGTTTATTCAATGGAAAAACAAAACATTCTTTAATAATACTTTGATGATCTTCATTCTTCCCATATTTGCTGGAAGTTTTGAATATCTAGCTCAAGAGTAGCAACAAGGGCATGTTTGTAGAGCTTTATTTATGTCAGCTGTTATCTGTAAGCGAGTATAGCATCATAAGTACCCCAATAATTTTGTTGGATGTAGTTACAGAAGAAAAAGTAAATCTCCTCTCTTTGGAAGAACACAACTCTATATCACACTCATGTTTGCTATTATCAAATATATTAGGTTCTTCCTAAATATTTCATGCCCCAACAGAAGAATTCACATAGAATATAACGGGGTAATATAATATATGTGTCTCTGACATTTACGAATGCACTAGTTGCAAAGTCAGAGATGCAAAGACAAATGTCAGTGATTACTGGTTAACTTATGCATTACTGATAAACGTGTCTAATTCCAACATTGCACAGCAAGTCCCACGAGGTGTGAAACAAAAAAATAAATAAAACTATCAAACCCGTTATTATTGAAACCCGTGAACTGGTTCGGTTCTTTTCTTAGTCGGGTTGCAAAGGAAGAATACTTTCATCCCACTACTGATATATGTTACTTGTAATATTTTCATTATTATATTTGGGATAGGATATTGTACCAATCAATTATGGTTACTATTAATGTTACTATCAATTAATTTCACTGTTAAATTGATTATGTTGATCCAACGGTTATATTTATTTTCATATTTGTATAGTTATGATTTTTCATATTTAATACTTTATATTTATTTCCATCTTTGTATGGTTATGATTTTTTATATTTATGAAGAATCATAACCATACAAAGATAAAAATAAATATAACCGTTAAATCAACATAATTAATCTAATGATGATATTGATTTGTAGTAACCGTAATTTGTTACAATAACCTACCCTATTATATTTATCACATAATTTTATATACACATACATTAGGTGAATAACTGAATGACTGAGCTAAGACTGAACCTGATAACCAAATGATTTAGGAGGGGCAAAACAAACAGTTTAGATTTCATGTGAACCGATCATGCACCTTTAGTACACCCCAATACTTTCTCCTGGAAGGTGGCAGAGAGGGATAAAGAAATAAGAGAACTGAAAGTCTGATTGAACCATAATTTCCAAATGCTATATTTTTATTTTTATTTTAAATTTTTATCACATTAAAATATTACAGCTGCTATCTTTCTCTAGCTCTCGGATTAATAGTTCCATCATCTTCTTATACATTGGCATGTAATGATCATTTATCATCGTTTTTGAAAGTCTGAGCTTGCTGTACAGCTCTCTAGGTGTTTCATACAAGCAGACATGTTCCTCAAGAGGATCATCGGAATTTGAATTTGAATCATCAGATGAAGAAGGTATAGAGACAATATGCATGATTCTGCCTGGGGGATAAAATCGATGGCTGTCCAAGTTGTCTGAGGTTGTGATTGAACTACTGCATTCTGCAGCATCAACAAGCTGATTCTCTTCTTCAGTGATCTCTTTTGCTGCTGCAGCCTCTTCTTCCTGAGCATGAATATTCATGGTATTATCCTGTTTCTGAAGCTCCTTTTGCAGCTCATACCATAACTGCCCTTCTGTTAATTGTTCCTCTTCATCAGTGTCATCGTGACCAGATCCTCCACTTGAGGAACTAGGTTCATCCTTAAGCACAGACTCTCTTACAACCTCTTCCGTCAAAAGAGATTCATTACTTCTGTCAGATATTAGAGAAGCTTCAGTTAAGTCCTCTGTTTTAGAGTTTGATGATGGACCAACATTTCGGCGACGCGCACTCATGCAAGACCATGATGACAACGACGACCGAGTTCTGACAACAGCTTGAGCAACACTTTGTGCACGCTTTATCACAACCTGCAAGTATAAAAAAAGGATCTTCATAAGATCAAAGGTACATTATATATGGGAAATCCCAAAACAAAATGAAAATCTAATCATACAAGTATCATGAACAATGGATCAATCATCCCTTCATATTAAGCACAGATGGATAACCACTACAAACTCTTTCAATGTCAAATGAATCCCTAATTGGAAACTAAATCCTAAAGAGCATTATGCAGTGCATGCAGTGAGTGTAAAATTAGAGATCAGGAAGCTTGAAGTTGAAGCTACCTGAGTGCCACTGGTTACCGGCCACAGAATAGCACCAGCACCACCAGCTACCCTGGCTTTTGCGCTAGATATAGATGGTAAATGAGATCCAAGCGCAGTTGCAGAGCGGTAGACAACATTCAGGACCTTTGTACGTTCAACCTGATCCCGTAAATCATTCAACCAAGAGGATGCAGTGACCTGATGAAAAGAAAACCAACTTGAGTAAGAAATGGGGCAAGATTGCATCACAAATTAAGGGGAGTGGTCTATTGCCTCTCCTTTTTGATTAATTTTACATAATTTTTCTAAACTATGAGTTTGATTAACAAAGAAGGATCTTTTAGATAAAAATTAGTTGAATAGGAGTGGCCATAGACACGAGAGTAGCAATAGGGACTCCCCAAATTAAGAAATTAACATTAACATTTGCCAAAACCATATCTAGTCGAAAGTGCTAGCTAGAGCACCTCAGAACGGAGATCGTCAATAGAGGAAGTTGAGAATGTGGGCACCAAGTCAGACCCATTTATGATGGTAGTGATAAAGTGCTTTCCAGATTCTGCTAACTCCCATGTCATACAAGCAGCTGCAAAAATGACAATTATGATACAAGGAATTAGCAGCAGTGGTATGACAAGACAGAAAATGTTTCCATATTAGAGAAAACTTAATGTCTCAGAGCAAATCCTGCATGAAAAATAATCACTACTCAATTGAATAAAAACTTTAAATGTAAATGTAAAGCAATAGTATAATTACATGCCTGGGGCAAATGTGACGCATGTGCTTGAAGAGAACTCTTTCTGCTCTCTAAGAATATATGTTAACAGTGCAGCAGTACCACCACCAAGTGAGTGCCCAACAATCTATGGAAAGATAAAAAGGATAACTGTTTATAAATGTACTTATACAGCCATGTATGTACTAGTCACATGATAAAATTAAAAATGAAAAAAAAGGAAATTATGAAAGGAAACAGAATCTAGAGTAACAAGGGATAAAACAAGAAACAAAGAAACTAAAGGAAGTAGGTTTTCAATTCTGTATACAGTGATGTACCATTATACAGTTCTTCCAAATAGAATATTAAAACAATACCTTGACATTGAAGTCTGGACATTCACCAAGAGCCTTAAGTAGAGTAGGAGCGCAGAGCTTTGCAATCCAACGAGCAGCAGCAACCATACCGCAGTGTGCATATCCTAAAACCAAGTTGCTTATCCCACCATCATTTAAAACCGAATGGTGGAAGGGGACAACAGTACCAGTTGCAGCTGTCAGCGTGTCTTTTATGCTATGAGTACCCCGGATCAATAGGAGTAAACATTTTGACTGTGTATCCCGTATAATTGTGAAAGCAGGCTTCAGAAGCTGCAAAAGGATTTCATTTCATATAGTCAAATTGCAGAAAAATGATGAAACGTGAAAACATGGTGAAATACCTCAGCAGTTTAAAGTAATTTAGGAAAAAAAGAAAAGAAAAAGTAGAAGATCCATACTTTTCCGTGAAAAAGTATAGTTTGGAAGATTAGTGGCTAACATATCGAAGTAGAGCCACAATAATTACAGGATTAAAATACAAGTCAAAACTCAGCATGTCTAAGGCAACAATATTAATGATATAAAATATAAATAATAACCACCATCTCATACAAACATAGACAATCACATATACCTCACATTTGTATATTTTTCCTATTTCTTTCCTTTGAGACCATTTTTTATCAAGTTGCAGAATCCTCAAACAGTGATAAAATAAAATGAACAACACAAACTATTATCTGATAGGGAATTTATAGCATCTAAGTATTGCACAACATAGAAGCCTCTGCTTATGGTTTTTTTTTTCTTCTTATTTCGACACTAACAGCAAGCCTCTGATTGCTTGAACATATTAGTCTACGCTCAGCCAACATTCCACTAGCAGGTATTTGAAATAGGGAAGATAAAAATAACATTTTCTGAAAGAATAAAAAACGGGGTAGCCTTGTTTTACATACACACTTTAACCTCTTGTATTAAATTTGTTAAAATACATCATGTTACACAAGGGCATATCCACTTCCACCATAAAACACGAGTTTTACACAATATCAAATACCACAAGGGGTCTCACAGTTAAATGTTAAAACATTTTCAGAAAAGGAAAAAATTATTATTAAAAATTAAAACATAGGGGTAGTTTTCCAAATGCCTAATACGGCATGGGATTGGGAGTCCCCAAGTGTAGCTCCTCCTTATCTTTAAGAGTCAATAAAGTTCTCCATTTCACTAGTATCAGTCACATATATAACCAAATCCATAACCAAATCCAGTGACAAAGATGAATTGCAGCAAGTTGATGCAGCAGACCTTTACTAAAATCATGTGTTTTTGTGGTAATGATAATGATTTTCAGTTAAAAAATGAAGAAGAAAAAATACAGACAGGATCGAGACAAGGACCTTTGAATTGAATTCAAAGGCATATACTTCTAAACAGTGGTCAGAATGAGGCCACTATTTCTCTATGTGAGTTTTGTCTTACTACTTCTCTCCACCACTCAGTCCCAAAAAATAAAATAAAAAAGGAAAGGGCACAGAGAGAGTGAGTGAATAAGGACAAAGCATACCCCAGCTTTTGGCTTCTGAAGGAGAACATCGTCGTTGGAGAATCCAGCAGAATCTAAAAACACTGGAAATGGCTTCTTAGAGAAAAGCATACACAGTGTCAACAACCTCAACAGCTCATATAACTCCACAATAATTTCATTACCCTTCAGTTGTACACAATCACTACCGGCATACACACTAGCAACTGGCAAATTACCCTGCAAGTATCAGTATCAGTATCACACACCCATTAAAAAACAAACTCGCACAGTTACAGAACAAAAAAAAAGAAAAACAGTGAAATTGACTTAGAATTTCAGAAACTTTTCACCTGCTTGCGCATGAAGTAGTTGATGCCGAAGGCCAAGTCGCCGATGGGCCACATCCCGAGGGTCTCCGAATAGGTGAACCTCAACGTCTCCGACAAAGTGATCATCGATTCAATCAGGGTCGCCGGAGCCTGAGCCGGCCTCCGAGCGAGCCTCCTTCTCCGAACCGATCTGCTTGATTTCGAGGCATCGCCGCCGGCTTGATCGCCGTCGTCCTCCTCCGCCTTCCTCCCGAGCCTCCGGCTCACGTAGTAAAGCATCACCGCCGCTCCGGCGGCGGTAGCCATTGTCCCCGCCGCCATGGGAACCAGCTCGAGATGCCGGAGATATCGGGTAGAACTTGCACGCGCCGGAACAACCACCGCAGAAAGTAACAAGAATCGAAGAACAACAAAGAATGAACGGAATGAGAGCGAATTTTTCTGGGTATGAAAAAAAATTGAATTTTGGAAACAGAAAAGATAAATTAGGGGTTTGGGGTGTGAAATCTGAAACGTAGCTGAGAGGAACAGAGAATGTGGTTTCCTTTCGCTTTATGGGGAAGGTTACCACTTGGGAAGAAAAAAAGAAACAACTGAACAAGAAGCTACTGATTTGTCTCAATGACTATAATACCCTTGGTTGTATAGAACGTTTGGGAATTATGGTAGGGGTAGATTAGGTAGAATGGTGGATTATGATGAGTGAAAAAGTGGGCACGTTAGGGATGAAAAAATGGAATAAAGAATTTGTTAAATGTTTGTTAAACAAAACTTAAAATGAAAAAACAATAAAAGCTTATAAAATAAGTTTGTTAACAAAACTTGAATAATACTAATTTAGGTTTAGAAAGAGAAAGTGAGGATGTACAAGATGAGGACAATAACGGGTGTCGGGTGGGTCCGCGGTTCGGGTCACACGGGATGCGGTGCAATGGGATTGGTTGGTGGCTGGATCCAACCCAACATGGACCATAGAGATAGTTGATGATGTATATAATATGAGTGGGGTACACTTGGTTCAGCTATGCCTATATTAATGGTACTTTGTTGGGCAAAAAAATATTACATGGTTGTATGGTTTAAACAGTTTTGGTAATTAGGTACAGTGTTTTGTCTTCATGGGATGATGTGATTATAAGGACTAAGGAGAAAATTAAACAAATGAAAAGGTGGGGTTGTCTCATTATGTGGTTGGAATACTCCTACATAAAGATGAGTGGGATGTTGATGTATTTGTCTGTGAATAATTGATCCGTGAAAATTTTACATGTGCTCAAAATGACGTAAGAAGTTTTCTATGCATAAATTCATCTGAATCTTACATTTATTTTAACTTTTCAGAATTTAAAAGTGAAAATGTTTTTTCAATGTTGATTTCATAAAAGATGTCTAGGACCTGGGTAACGGAGAATACAATATAAGTTAAAACTATTAAAGGGTATTCCAATGAAGACTGAACAGTTCGATCTCGTCTTGTATATGTTCGATTCTCTTCTGTTTATGTTTAATTTTTTTCATTTATTTAGGTAAATAAAACTTAAATCTCAAAAAATAAGGCTGCATCCAAAGGTTAAAAGGTTTGGGTGCCAGTGTGCTGTAACGAGACAAGAGCTGACAACATAGGTTGAATCTAACGGGTTAATTCGTCAATCAGCCAAAATGGATTGGTGAGAGTCGGGACGGGTTGGCTCTCGGGTCAATTTTTTTTTTTTTCCTATTACGTAATATTTTATTTGTCACTAAATTTTTGTGAAATATTTTTATTTTTATTTTAGTACTCCCTATATATAGAGGCAAAAATAAGTTTCTAAAAAATATCTAACTGAATATTAGCTGATGTTTAGGTTTGAGATTGAAAAAAAAATAAGGAGAGTGTGAAATAAAAATAAGTAATATTATAAAAATAAAAATATATAATTTTATTATTTTTTTACTGTCTATTGGAGGAAGTTTTCTTCTTGATAATTTTGTAATCACTTCAACTGAAAACCAGCATTGGATGAGGTTAAGTTAATTATTTTATATCTCTCTAATACACCTCATCTCGCAAGAGCCTTTTGGGCTTGAAGCGTGGATATGGCACAAGCCCATGAAATTTAAACTTAGAGTTTATTCTGTCTATTGGAGGAAGTTTTCTTCTTGATAATTTTGTAATCACTTCAACTGAAAACCTGCATTGGATGAGGTTAAGTTAATTATTTTATATCTCTCTAATACACCCCCTCTCGCAAGAGTCCTTTGGGCTTGAAACGTGGATATGGCACAAGCCCATGGAATTTAAACTTTGAGAGTTTATTTTGTCTATTGGAGGAAGTTTTCTTCTTGATAATTTTGTAATCACTTCAACTGAAAACCTGCATTAGATGAGGTTAAGTTAATTATTTTATATCTCTCTAATACACCCCCTCTCGCAAGAGCTCTTTGGGCTTGAAGCGTGGATATGACACAAATCCATTTTTTTGTCTGCCTTGTGCTTTTCTTAATTCTACATGAAAGTGGGGGCGGTGAGGATCGAACTCGTGACCTTGTGATCACTGAAGTTCTGATACCATTAAAGAACCACTTCAACTCAAAATCTTAAGGCATTGGGTGAGGCTAAATTAATTATTTCATATCTCTCTAACAAATTTTAAGTTATAATTAGAACTTGGGTAAATCAAACATATGTATAGTATTTTCTTAATTTTAATACTATAAACCTCAAGGTCTAGCATATCAACGCAAATATGCATAGACTTCCTAGAAACATATTTTAGAACAAGAGGAATATTTTGATTTCGGCCTAAGAATAAGAACTAGTCTTACTTCTCCTATCCATTTGCATTTCAACATCAACATCAACAACATCTTTATCCCAAATTAATTGGGATCGGTGGTAGATGAACCCACATGAAAGATACAAAACGGTTGAAAAAAAGTTAAAAATAAAAAATAAAAAAAAATAAAAAAAAATAAAAAAAATAAAAAAATAAAAAAGTAAAAAAGTAAAAAAGCCAAAAATAAATAAATAAAAATAAACAAATAAAATAAAAATATAAAATAAGATAAAATATAATAACAATATATGTATATATAAATAAATAAAAGTAAAAAAGAAAGGGACAAGAAGAAGTGGGGGAAATGAAGGGGAAAAGGACTAAAAAGGGACCATCTGGAACATAGGAATAACAGCGGGTCTAACCCTCCACCATACTTATAGCTTTTCTCCATTCCGTTCTAAGACATACTGTCCGCCAATCTATATCTCACTCCATTAAATCTTGTTTTACTACTTTACCCAAGTAAGCTTCGGCCTACCTCTGCCTCTTTTTGTGTTGAGCTCTTGGTAACAAACTTCTGTTCTTAGAGGAGCATCCATGGGTCTTCTCATCACGTGCCCAAACCACCTCAATCTATGTTCTCTCATCTTCTCGGCTACCGGTACTACTCCGACCTTTCGTCGAATATCTTCATTTCTTATCTTATCCATCCTTGTGTAACCACACATCCACCTTAACATCCTCATCTCTGCTACTCTCATCTTATGCTCATGTTGCCTATGTGTTGGCCAGCATTCTGCTCCATATAGCATTGCCGGTCTTACTGCCTTTTTATAGAATCTTCCTTTTAACTTCAGGGGGATTTTGCGGTCACACAAAAATGCAGATGCACTGCGCCATTTCATCCACCCTGCTCTGATTCTGTGATTTACATCCTCATCAATCTCTCCACCGTTTTGTAAAATGGAGCCCAAGTATTTAAAAGCATCTTTTTTGGGTACCTCTTGACCACTTAGATGCACAGGTTCTTGGTCCTCATCTCGTACCAGAGAAAACTCACACTTCAGATACTCAGTCTTGCTTCGACTTAATGTGAATCCTCTGGATTCCAATGTGCTTCTCCACAATTCAAGTTTTCTATTAACACCCTCCTTGCTCTCATCAATAAGCACAATATCGTCTGCAAAAAGCATACACCATGGCACTTCCTCTTGAATATCTTTTGTTAGTTCATCCATAACTAAGGCAAAGAGGTAAGGACTTAGAGTCGACCCTTGGTGTACACCTACCGTGATAGGAAAATAACTTGATGATCCGTTACAAGCTTTTACACATGTAGTAGCCCCATCATACATATCCTTGATTGCCTTTACATACTTTAATGGAACCTTTTTCTTCTCCAGGACCCACCATAAAACTTTCCTTGGAACCCTATCGTATGCTTTCTCAAGGTCTATGAACACCATATACAAGTCCTTTTTCTTTTCTCGGTATCTTTCCATTAGTTGTCGCATCAAGAAAATTGCTTCCATGGTACATCTTCCTGACATAAATCCAAATTGATTTACAAAAACCTTGGTATCTTTCCTCAAGCGATGTTCAATAACCCTCTCCCACAACTTCATAGTATGGCTCATTAGCTTAATGCCTCTATAGTTTGAACAATTCTGTATATCTCCCTTGTTTTTGTAGATAGGCACAATCATACTTTTCCTCCATACATCAGGCATCTTATTCATCTGGAGAATCTTATTAAAAAGATTGGTCAACCATTTTATTGCCACATCCCCCATGCCTCTCCACACGTCAATAGGGACACCATCAGGCCCTAAGGCTTTATTAGTCTTCATCCTCTTTAAAGCCTCCTTAACTTCATGTGTATTAATTATGCGTACAAATCTTCTATTCATATCATCACACGCGTCCTCTAAGTCCACCTCGCTTGTATCTCCATCCCCATTATACAGCTTGTTGAAGTATTTCAACCATCTTTCATTTACATCTTCATCTCTCACCAGAAGTTTTTGATTTTCATCCTTGATGCATCTAACTTGGGTGAGGTCTTTACTTTTCTTATCCCTTATCTTTGCAAGTTTATAAATACCTCTTTCACCATCCTTGCTCCCAAGATTTTTATACAACTCGTCGAAAACCTTGCCTCTAGCTTCTCGCACTGCTTTCTTTGCATTTTTTCTCGCCAATCTAAACTTTTGCAGGTTCTCTGCACTGGGACTTTTATGCAAAGATCTAAAGCACTCCTTCTTATGTTTAATTGCCTCTTGCACCTCTCCATTCCACCACCATGTTTCCTTTGTATGAAATCTATTTCCTTTGCTTTCTCCCAACACCCTCCTTCCCAAATTTTGAATACACTTAGCCATCTCATTCCATGTTGCATTCACTCCTCCATCAAACTCCCAAGGTCCTTCGTGCAACATTCTATCATTGAACTCTCTCTATTTTCCCTCCTTAAGCTTCCACCACCTTATCCTTGGATTCTGAGCCCTCTTCTTCATTGTACGTACTTTGTTGAACCGAACATCCAAGACTACCAGCTTATGTTGCGTAGCGACACACTCTCCAGGGTAGACCTTACATTCGACACAAGAAGTTCTATCTTCTCTTCTAGCCAGAAAGAAATCAATCTGACTACGATTATGGCCACTATGAAAAGTGATTAGGTGTGACTCCCTTTTTTGAAAAAAGGTGTTCACTAACATCAAATCGTAGGCTAGTGCAACATTCAAGATATCTTCTCCAGTCTCGTTTCTCGTCCCATAGCCAAAACCTCCATG